TCTGTTTGTCTCTCCATTGTTCTATATACTGTACACTATATACTGTCCTGATGATGCTGGGGAGCTGCTGCAGGCACCACTCCTTCTTACAAGAAGGAGGAAGTACAGACCCTGGGTCAGCTCCCATGTTAACAGAGTTGGGGAGAGGTTCATGAAGGAGAATGGGGGTGACACAGAGGCTGATGGAAGAGAGAGACAATTGTGTGTGCATTGAGATGCAGAAAAATGTAGCTCTTGGGTATGAGTTTGGTGGTCTTCTGAAAAATCTAAACAATCCTTCTAAGTGAACACTGTAGTCCCCTTTTGCAGTACGGTAGCTTTTTCAAGATTGTGTCTTCATCAAAAGAGCTGACAACTGTTGGTAGAACAGCAAGAGTGTTATATAGTGACATTAAGGAGTCCTGCATTTATCATGATTATGATCAATATTTTCTTTTAAAGGTAAAAGTAGGCAATGACATTACTACTGGAACAGGTCCAAACAAGAAAATAGCTAAAAGAAATGCAGCAGAAGCAATGTTGCTACAGCTGGGATACAAAGCCTCTACTCCTCTTCAAGACCAGACAGAAAAGGTGAGAGAACCAATTGTTGTGATGCCCACACTTTACCCTTGTCTAGATTTTTAAGCTGTATCAGCTAATCACTTAGTAAGACTGGAAGCTTAAGCTTGTGCACGGCCTGTTTTAGGGAGCTGCTTGTCACAGATTAGCCTTTGTTTAGCTACAGCTCTAGAGCTGTACCACAGTTAGTAGTAAGTGTAGCCTCTGCACCTGTGAGAGTAATTAGGAACAGAAACACAGTTCCATAGAATAGTGTGTGTGCAAAAGTGTACACATGATCCATTGCCTATTTCTACTTACAAATCAAGATGAATGTGCCTCTTGCTTTTATTCCAGTTTGGGCATCCGTGAGAACAGAAGGAACAGAAGGAAAGGAAAAACGTTACTAATTTTCATATATGAAGTAGTAGTCAATGTTTGTCTTCCCATTGCATGTGCACGAAAAGCATTACAGAAAAATAATGGCCTTTTCACATTTGATGACTGATTAAGAAAATGTGTGTCAGGTTTTGTTTTTTTAATGAAGAAGGAATTTCATTTTAAATTCTTATGCATTGGAAGTATGTATTTCCACGTTAGCTGTCTTTAACTTAGCACTCCTCTCCTGTCTTGAATTCATTGATGAGGAGTATTGTAAAAAATAGGGTGTTAAAGTTTTGCCTTTTGTATTCTGAAAAGATATTTGGTAAGGTAATTAAGCTATGGATCCTAAACAGCTTCTGTCATATACAGGCTCACTGCATGTATATGTTTTGATAATTACTTATATGTTTACTGTGGCTGCACTAGGTAGCAAACAGAAAATTCTGTTGGGCTTTTCTAGGACTACGTGATAAATCTGAATATAGTGTATATATACACATCTATGTATATGTAAATATGAAGATATTCTGTTCTGTATATTCTGTATTCCTAACCAGGAAAAAAAGCAATACTGTACTGGTTACTTGGCCCCACCTTCTTTTGTTTCACTCTCCTTTGAGAGTAGCAGCAATGTGTGCTGTTCACACTCACCTTCACTATGTTCTTCACTGTATGTCTTAGTCATAGACAAGTGTGAAATACTCTAAACAGAGTACTTGGAAGCTGGATGATGTTCCTAGTGAGAACACACTGTGCAGACACAGCCTTTTCAAAAAAAGCTTCTGACTGAGTCAAATGATAATTAATTTTCACCAGAATGCTGAGACATTTCTGCTGTAGAATATACTCTCTGTGGTATAAAACTATCAACTTTTTCTTCACTGCCAGTTTGGCCAAATGGCTTTAACAAAAAAAGAAGTCAAAACAGAATTTTATTTTTTTTTTATTCTAATATGAAAACAGGTTTTCATTCTTGCATTTTAAATCAGCTGAACTAATTTTACTCAGTATTTTTCAGAGATAAAGCCTGAAAAAAATCAGCCTACAACATAGTTGATTTGGAGAGCTCTACATAGTGTAAACTTGCGGTTACATTGAAATCCTTACCAAAAAACTTGAGTGGCTAAAATGGGATGCTGTTGCTTTGTTTCCCTACATTTATTAAGCTATTGCTTACAAGTGCATTGTCTTTAGAAAATCAGGCTTAATTGCATACTTCTAGATGTAGACATTTTAGGATTGGTAGACGAGTGTACAGTTGCTTAATATTGTTCTGAACACAATGAACAAACATGTTACTGTATCCAAAAAATGTGAAGTACTCAACTTTGGTAGTGGCAGTATCATAACAAAATCACAACAAATTTTTAAAGCTTTGCTGAGATTTAAGGGCATGAAATATCTAGAGTATCTGGTTTTATCTTCTGTATATAACAGACTGGACATATTTGGAGATGCACAATTTAGTTTGTGTAGCTGAAAGAATTTTAACTCTCAAACTAAACTGTGGTGGAGAAGAGGGAAAATAGCCCTTAGATCTCTACCAGTGTGAGCATTGCAAAATTCCTTGCATATAAATGCACAATAAAGATATACCATTAGAAGATACTTGTTTCACTGTTTGAATCCAAAATGGGTCCCAGTGTAGATTAGTTGATGTAGCAGGTTGGCATCTAAGTAGATAATTTTCACTTGTATGCTTTTTTTGATGATGTTAAAAAAGGCAATTCTTTTTTCCCCTCTATCCCCTTTTCTTCAAGTCCTTTCATTCCATTCCTCCTCCCTTAAAAAATAAACAAAACCAAATTCAGTGGGTTTTTTCCTTAACCCTCGTACATAAAAAGTGACTTTATTTATTGGTTTAATGGAGACCTAAGAGTGTTATAAGAGCAATGTGTAGTGCTGATGGCAGCACAAGTAATCCAGGTAATGTAAAAAAGTAAAGGCTCTGCTCTTTTCTGGGTTAAACTGATTCCTGAAAGAAGTCAGTAATGGTTGTGCAGAGCCTTGAGGAGAGCAATCTGGAGGTATGCTGGGAGATATTTTGCAGTTGTCAGAATTTTAGCTCTAGGGATGAGAATGGAGAGTTGTAATAATTTTTTCATGTTTCCATCTTGTTTTTTCTTGCCACTTGTATTCTCAGAAAGAGGAAAACCAGGGTAGATTGCATTCATGTGAGGCAGCAGTACTAAAGATCACTTACTCATAGAGGGATTGTTGTTAAATTCTCCATCATGATCAAGTTAATAAGCAATAAGAAAGAGAAGAATAAGGAAAGTTGGAAATCTCATATTGTAACAGTTTGCTTGTGCTAGCATCATGTTACAGATGGTCAGGATGGAATCCTGACAAAACCATGCTGTTGTTATAGCAGTAAATGCAAACATATTTATAGATTTCATGTTGCTTATTCATATGAAGAACTGTTGTCACGTGTGTTATCTAATATACATATAACCTGCTTCATAATATGAATAAAACAAATAATATAAAATTAAAGTGCATAGATGTAGGTGACCAGTTTGAAAGCTGACTGTAATGCCTGTCCTCCCTTCCCATCAAATATCTCCTATTTTCACTGCACATTGCCCAGGCTTTTTGGGATGTGCATGATGATGAAAAGCAGGGAAACAATCAATGAAGTACCTGCTTTTCATAGTGTGCTCCCCCCTCCTCTTTCCCAAGTGAAATGTATCATCTAGTAGTCTATATTATGACATGGTAGTAATCTAAACAGCCTTAATGCAATTTCTGAGATGCAGAGGCAGGTTTCAGGTGGTTGATTTTCCTTCTCATTTCTTTGACTTTCCAACCCCATCTTCAAGAGCAAATGATTACAACTTTGTTCTGGCATATAGCCTGCATTGCAGAGAGGTTTTCTGTTTGCATTGAAAATCACAGTGAAATCTGAAAAGGATCATTCATTTCACATTCATAGAGCTGGTTGTCAATAGCTTCTAAGTAATGAGGAAGGTTGGACTTGTTTATCCAGTTTTATACATAAACCTAGAACATTGCCATCTTATTTACTGTGTAAACCTCAGTTTTGGCTTCATTTGGAACCTCTGTGTTAATTGTTCCCCTTTTCCATATCAGAGTAATACCTAGTATTAAACATAGTAAAATTAATTTGAAGACAATTTGCTTCCTCAAAAATATATTAAAATAATGGAAAATTGCAATAATTTTTACTTCCACTTCAGTGACTAAATTGATTCCTAACAAGTAAATATTATAAAATTACACCCAAGTACTTTATAGTGTTTACACATTCCTTCATAGGCAGTAATTAGGATCTTCTTGTTTTAGAATGTAATTTCCCTGTTGGCTGTTTATGTTTTCAGTTGAGAGCTGCTTAAAACATTTAATTTTATTTAAGTCTGATTTGGTAACATATTGAGTTGAACCTAATCCTTGGGGAAACGTTTATATTTCAGTGTTAGGCAATAGTTGCTAATGTTTACACATGAAGGGTACATTACTCAAATAACCTATCTTAGGCAAAAATTAAGATGAGTTAGCAAAATTTTGTGAACAGATGCGGCAATCTCAACTCATCCTTTTTAGTGAATTACAACTATATTTATAAACATGAATGCTCTGTTTAGGGAGTAGTTTGCTCTTTAGTTACTTGTCTTTTTCTACCTGTTTCAGCTTGGAGAAAACAAAAGTTGGAATGGCCAAAATGTTGGGTTTCCTGAGCCAACAAGTAACAGTAAGTATTACTTTTTAAATTCATATTGATACTTATTTCTCCTTGTCTCTGTATGATTTGGATTATCCAAAACAATTGAAATGCTTTTGGTAAATACTTTGGGGTTTTTATTACAATTACACAAATTAATCACTGTGTGTCCTGTGTGTGAGTGTAGGTATGAACGAGTGCAGGAACAAGGAAATTTTTATTTACTAATTGTATCATTGAATCCTTCAGTTTGTAAGGGATTTTAGGAGGTCACCTAAACTGCTTGCTGAAAGCACAGTCAGTGCAGAGTTGAGATAAGGTTGCTTATGGCTTTTTAACAGCTCTCCAGGGATGAAGGTTCTGTAGCTTCTCTGGGTAGCCTGTTCCAGTGCTTAAGTCTCTTCACACTGATTTTTTTTCCAATTTTATCCTTGTCAGAACATCTCCTGTTTGTTTATGACTATCATCTCCTGTTCTTCTGCTATATACCTCAGTAATGTGCCTGGCTCTATCTTTTCTGACAAATTCTTCTTAGATATTGGAAGGCTGCTGTTGGGTCCCAACAGATTTCCATTATCTAGGAATTTATCTACCTAGACTCTAAAATCACAGCTTAGAGACAAGGATGCTGTGGGAGACATGATATCAAGATCCTTGCTAAAGCCAAGGTACTTTCCACTCATAAAATGAATGCTCTCCATTCATAAAACCAGTCACTTTATCATGGAAGACAATCACACTGTGCGCCCACAAATGGCTTTAAGATGTCTGCATGATTTTCCCAGAGACCAGACTGAGGTTGACCAGTCTGCCTTTTTTGAGTATAATGCATTTCTCCAGGCACTGGAGATTTCTTCTGATCTCCATGACTTTTTGAAGAGAACAGAGAGTGGCCTCATAATGATGCAAGCTGGTTGACTCAGCACGCTAAGATATTTCTCACTTGGTCCAATGGGTGCACAGGAAGTTCCACCTGAATATGAGGAAGAACTTTACTGTCCAGTGACTGAGCTCTGGAACAGGTTATCCAGAGGGGTTATGGAGTCTCCTTTACTGGAGATATTCAAGAACCATCTGGCCACAATCCTGTGCCATATGCTCTGGGATGACCCTGCTTGAGCAGAGGGATTGGACCAGATGACCCACTGCGGTCCCTCCCAACCTGACCCAATATGCAGTTCTGAGATTTTGTGATTTATATGGGCTGACTTCTAGGTTTTCTCACAGCATCCCTGATTCTGATGAGGTTCTGCTACTGGTAGTTCCTCTCTTCCTTGAGCTTTGTCTATAAGACACAAAAGCCCAAGAAACCTTGTTGGTAAAGACTGAATTCAGTTTCACTGCAACAGGTAAAGAATAGGACAGAACTTCGTGAGTTTATAATTAGATTTTTGCTGATTAAAGTGGTAAAGATAATATAAACCATACTTTTTACTTTTTCATGAGCCTCAGATTTTTCTGTAGAACCATGTATAGTTTTGAACTTTTTAAGGGTCCCAGACATTATCTCCCTCAACTAAGGACTGTACAGACATGGACACACACAAGCTACCTTTTATTTTTTGCCTATATACGTCTGAAAGACATGGTCCTAAAAGCAGATTTAAGGAGTTTCAGTAGTGTTCCATTATATACGTGGTTTTTCCCAGTCACCAGAGAGTGACCCAGAGACCAGAGGAATAATTTGTGCTTCAATTTCCACAACCGTTTGCTAGAGTTTAAAGTGATCTTGGATTCAGCATGTCATTGTGTTTCCTGAAAGGAAGTATTCCACAGGATCGAAGATTTCCTATTAATTGCTTCCTTACAGCCCTGTCATCAACCCCCATCAATACTTTTAAGTTATTTGTGTATCATCAAAATCTCTTGAGGATAAGGCCAGTGAAATATCTTCAAATGTTAACATTTTAGAGTTTGAGACAGCAGAATAAGACCTCTAACTTTTCTCCTGTCCTTGCAGTGTCTTGTAGCAAAGACACTTACTTACAGATGAAACCACAATCTTCTGTTAAACCAACAAGATAAAAAAATCTCTTAGACTGCCCAAGACAACTTTGATAGTTGCACTGTAAATCCCAATCTAGAAGGAGAACACAAAGGCAAACTCATCCAACAGGAGACAAGATTAACAGAAATTATATTTTAAAGCTGGCCTGACCAAATAACTTATTTTTCACAGATTGACCTGCTCACATACCTTCTTGCAGCCACCAGAGCCACAGTACAGAAACAAGTTTTCATTCTAGGTCACTTTTGTAATGCACAATGCCTTCATTTCCAATCTTCTGATCTACAAGTAAATTGGAAGTCAAAGGAGATAGAGCTAGCATGCTAATAGACATAGAAAATTTGTTCAGAGATCACTGTTCTTAATCTCTTTACCTCTTTTTTTGAGTGTTCCCATCTAGAGGCAACATCAATAATAAATAGGTGATTAAAGTGCACCATAGAATGTTAAAGGATTGGAATGAATCTTAAAGATTATCTAGTCTCAGCCACCCCTGCCATGTGACACCATTCACTAGACAAGATTGCACTTATCCAGCCTGACTTTGAGCACTGCCAAGGTGTTCTGAATAAAAGTAATCACTTTTGTGCATGATCTCTCATGCACGTGTGAAGTGCAGGGCTTTTTAAAGGCAGTTCCAAACAAGTTCCACACTTTTAGATCAAAAATGTCACATCCTTTCTGGTATGAATATGCTAGTTTATTTTTAAGATCAACACTTTTTGGTAGGTGAATTTACTCTTGAATTTTTAAAGTCTTTTTTTTTAAGTTAGAAAGCTTTAAAAGAGGGTAAATAGAGCAGCTTTCTCCCTTTTGTATCCTTCTCAGAAGAGAAATGAATAGTTTGTATTTCTTGTTACCATAAACTGAACTTTCAGTGGTCTTGAAAATCTGAGGCTCTGAGATTGCTACATCTACCATTTGGCAGCTTTTATTCATATTTCAAGTAATTTTATTCCAGGAAAACAATTGTGTCCTGCTAGGGCAGGGTACTGTGCATCAGTTTCCTTTTGCAGATAGATAGTATTTCTTTGTGTGCCTAATGCCCTGAGTTTCCATCTGAGTCAAATAAAGCTGGAATAGTAAAGGGAATTTGTAAACTTCAGTACAATACAAAATAAAATCATAACAGTTCTATATTTTAGTTGAAGAACAGATTCCATTGTACTCTTACAATGTCACTTGTTTTTGTTGAGAAATACTTTACAGTCTGTATCTTCCTATTAAATATTCTTGAAAATTAACTTGTCCTGCTGCCCTCTATCATGTTACTCTTGCATTATCCATGTGGCAAACCTCAGTTCTGTTCCTCCTACTCACTGGCAAAGTTTCTTCCCACAGGTTTACTTCTTTACCTTTCTTTTTCATTTCACAATTTCAAAGAAAGATGAAACATAAAGATATTGGTTTCTTGGTTTAGGATATCATTGACATTCTTCACATGTGAAATGTCAAGAACATTGAGTTTTTTTCCCTTACGCTTCTGGAAGAGACTGAGAGACTGTGAGCAGACCAGAAGCATTTGCAGCCCATACAGAAGATGTTTACTGTAAACAGAATCTCATTTATCTCTCTTGATTTGACTTAAGCAGTTATCAACAGAAACAAAACATGCAACAAATAAACAATCCTATTACAAAGTGCATTTTCATGGGAACATATTTTTGTTTTGTATTTCTGGATGGGTTAATCACAAACATCATACAGGATGTCTTCTGTTGATGAGCTCTGAAGAACAGTATAAAAATAAAAGTAAAATGTAACTCTGGTTTTGTATATTATAATTCTAAGCAGGAAAAAAATACCATAACTGTTTTTACATGTTTCCCAACTTCAGTTTTTCATTGTATAGTTTTCCTTTACCTATTTCTAACAATTTTGGGAGTCACAAAGTACTGAAAAACTGGTAATTTAAAAAAAAAAACAAACAACACATTCAGAGCAGTCTTACCTCTCTGTGAAGGACAGACTCTTTGTTTTTCTTGCCTAACATTTTATTACTAGGGATTCGTGCATGACTTTATAGTCTTTGTTCTTCAGACTACATCTGCTCCTGCTGTTTGTTCACCACCTGAAATCATAACCATTTGTTTGTGACATCACAATTAGTTACTGTGAAGATGATTAGATTGTCAGCAACAGATGATTATGATTTCAGATGGTAAATGAGCAGCAGGAGCAGATGATCTCCTAAGGAACAAAGATACTTGATCTCATACAATTGTTCTCAGTGACAGGAAAAAAAAAAAAAAAAGAAATAGGAGACAAAGAAGCAAATAGATATTCTTAAGAGTTTCTTAAGTCTGTAATGAGAAAATTTGATATTTTTCTGTAAATAACATTTATTTTAGTATTTTTAGTATTAGTATTTTGAAAAGTCTACTTCAATATTAGATTAAGAAATAAAAATTATGAAATACAAAAAATACAAAAATGTTACATGTTACTGTAAGCCCTAAATGTATGGCTACATTCAGATCCTTACTTAGATGTTTTCTCACCAGCTTTTCAGAGATAATAAATGCAACATAAGTGATGTATTTATGAAATTTTACATACTAATACATCTTTGCGTTGAAGGAAACAAAATTTATGTGACCTTTGTAGTTCTGGCCCTCAATAATTTCAGAAAGAGATTTTTTATATAGTCCTCTAATTGTTTTTCAACTGGGGATTTTGGTGAAGATTTCCAGTAGATAATTTAATACCCATGTGCTTCCATGAACAGGAACTGGAGTCTACAGTTTGGGAATAAAGTTTCTGTTTTGCAGTTTGGGCATTTTTAATGTTTGTGTGTTATATTTTGATGAAATATGTAATTCTTTTGGGTATATTTCACAGGTGATTTATAGTAGATTGTGTGCATTTTTAATTACTAAGTACTGCTGTTGCATTGGACATGTCTTCTGAATTGTTTTCAAATTTACTCAACTTTGTCAATTATAATGCACTCTTGCTAGGAGTTACATTGATATATCACTAAATGCTTGCTGAATTATTTGCCATTCTGACTAGAAACCACAATAAAGTGGTTGACAACACCACTTGGTGAAAGGTCACAGAACAGTAGTTTTCCATCTGTTCATTTTGATATTTTTGTTCTGTTCTGTGAGGATTTTTTTAGCTAGCAACCTGTCAGGTGAGCATTATAAAGGAGCAGTTCCTTCAGTTGAGCCATTTGTCCTCACTTTAAATGTCCCACAGCCTTGTCTAGAGTCTCTTATTGCAGCTGGTTATCTTTAAATAATACCTTGCCTCTGCAACTGCTGAGTTGATTTGCTTATTTTCTGATTAAATTTTCTTTCTAACTGAAGACATGGGAAAATTAAATTTAGAAGCAGAGGAGATTTGTTCAATTTTGTTTCTTTCTTAATTTACTGAAGCTAGGAAATCCATGCTGCATTTGGCATTATTAATAAGTGATGTATTATTTTCAGTTTCATCTAACAATGAAAATTATTTTATCCAGTGTAACACAAATTAAATATAGCTTGCATATATATTTTTTTTTTAATACTTGAAAAAACTTCTAACACATCTAATATTAAAAAACTTATTAACAAGAAAGGTAAGGGAGTGTTATTTTCTCTTTGCTGTTTTAAGAACTAATGACAAGAGCCAAACTAGCATTTTTATGTGTGAGTGGGATTTGGGCTCAACTCTGGAGTGTAAAACAGCAACTGCAAGTGGTCCCTCTCCTTTTCCCACATATCCCTTTTCAGATTCTATTAATTGTTTAAAGTTCTGCAAGTTTTGCATCTTTGGAGACGATAGTTTCTTTGCTGAGTTTAGAGTATAATGTGTATTTATAAAAAGCTTAGTGTTTTAAGCATGTGCCCAGAGCATTGGAGACTTCATGGAGTGCAGAGTCTGGATAATGGCAGCTGCCTTTTAGGGATGTGTATCTAACATGGTTTGCAGCCAAAAAAGGAAAAATCAAATGCTATTAAAATATAGGAAATTCAGAGGGAAGGAGTGATCTAAAGTAATCATGACTATTGATTGAATCTCTTGTGAATGAGGGTGCAGATGTGTATTCAGGTGTTCTCTGGCTGGTTTACTGATATTGTGCCTATTTTAGATACAGGTTAAAAAGAAAGAGCTGTGTGAAACCTGTTGCCTGGTTCTTGAGTAGTATAGATTGTGCATATGTAAGAAATACTGACTTTGGCTGTGAGGTCTGTGGTTTGGGTGCCCTCAGGATGAGAAGGAACTCGAGTCACCTGTCGGGGAGATGGCTTAACCATCAAGTTTTTGTTGTATAAAATGAATAAAGAGGAAGCAACCACCAAGACAGGAGACAGCCAGCTCTAAGAGTAATTTCAGATAATGTAAAAGGCTGATATGAATTACATTTATTCAAGTTTGCCAGTCTATTCCTTTGAAACAATCTACACATGAAGGAGAAATGCAGAACTCTTTTTTGATATTAACTCTCAAATTCAAATTTAATTATGTAATTATGCTAAATATCTGCATTTGGTTTTCTGTCTTCACATGAGAAAATGGAGCAGGATCACATAATCCACCTCAGCACAGTGTTACTCTAAATATTTTCACTTTTCTAGAGTCTTTCCTCCTTTTCCAACTCTCTCCCCTCCAACCTAATACCCACCATGTACCTCACCTTTAATCTAGGATAATTATGTCCTTGAAAAATTGAATCTCCTGAACTGAAACTTCATAGCTGTCAGAGCTAAAACTGAATTCTCCACTCCTTCCTCCATGCCCTTTCAACAGCAAACACCTCTTTCTCCTCCTCTGATTTCCTCCTCCCTCACACCTATCTTGTGCTTGTTGGTGGCCCCCTTGGCCTTAGCTTCAGCAACCTCTCTGTCCTTGTTGGGATTTGCTCATTTTTTCATCTCTTCTCCCTGTGGGTCAGGCCTTCGTTTTCATCATCACCATTCTCATTCCCCTCCTCATCTGTTAATGAATAGTCTTGCCTGCTCAGGTTGCCTGCAGTTGCACTTAGGCACTCTCCTAAATTGCTTTATCCCCACGAGCATCACTTTCTTGCAGCTGTTACAAGCACCTTGATCTGCCAGCTCACTAGCTTGATTTGTTCCTGCTCCAAATTTGCTGATCCTCTTTACGGATACTGACCTTCCTTCTGTATTTTGATGGATTATTTTCCGAACCTGCTCAATCTTAATCTTTGGTTATATGGTACGTGGACATATTGCTAGAAAATTATGATGCAGAAATTATAATGTAAAACTTGTAATGTGGATGTTTCATCTGTCTATTGGAATATTTCATAGAATATCCTGTAGAAATTCCCCACTGCAAACACTATGTCTTACTTTTTACCAAAATCTTATGTATTCAAGCAGGAGTAAAGCTGGAGGAGAATTCAAAGGACCTTTACTCCTTACATGAGTTAAATGCCAAATGTTAAAGAAATTCATAGAATTTAAGTCCTTCAATACTGCAATTTATGTTTTGGCTATACGGAAAATAGTCTGGTGAAATTAGGGATATCAAGACCTGATTACATGAAGAACTAAGTAGTATTTACTTCAGCATCATGGTTCTTTAAAGGTTAAACAAAGGTTAGTATTTTAATGAGTGGCTTTATGTAACATCAGTTTGTTTAAGGTCATGAAGACGAGATCTTTTGATTGAAAGACATTGTGTAATGACACAACATTTTTTCATGTCTGAATATTGCAGTAGCTGGTGACTTAGAAATACCATGGATAGCTGTGTTAAGTAGGTAATGATTGCAGCTTGGTATTTCAAGCCAAGATTGTGTGTAGACAATTGCTGAGAACGTAATGGCCATACTATTTGCCTATTCAATTCTTTGACTGACCTTTTCTGAGTTCCTACTGATGTAATTTGACTGACCTTTTCTGAGTTCCTACTGATGTAATAAAATTTGAAAATATTCTAGTATATAAATAGCCTTTTACACTGAATGGGGTATAAAACCATCATTTCTTTTTATTATAATATTTACATTTTTCAGTCTTGTTATTGAAGTAGTTGGGTTTTTTGTGAATTCTCTCTTTTTTTTTTATGTCAGTAGATTTGTAATGGGCCATATTTTAGGGCATGCTGAGAACCTGCCAGTTCTAGGGAGTAATTATTGCATTTGAGCATCTTCCATGCCTCTTAAGTTCTTGTCCATTTTAATGAACAAAATTGTGAAGTCAGGATTAGATCCAATTCTGACTTTTCCTTCTTACAGCCTTACTACAAGATTTTTCCCTGTACTTTATATACCACATTATAAGAAGGTTTTATTCAAATATGACTACAGTTAGCATAATCTGAAAGAAAGCTTTTTGATTATTATCTATCAAGTATTTTATTCAGTTTAAAAAATACTGATTATTTCCTTATGTATAGTCTTTTCTTCATCTAGTGATAGTTTATTTCAAATACCAGGGTGCTCAATTTATGAGCTTATCATATACAGAATTATACCATGGTTTACTCTGCACCATTGCACAAGGCATGAAAACAGTCCTTTGTGCCATATCCCACATCACTGGTTGTAGTTCAGGGAAGAGCATGTGTTCTTCAGCAGGGTCAAGGAAAGTCATATTGCAGCTGGCACTGCTTCTGACACATGAACAAGTGTAGCTTTTCTGTAGGATAAGTGAGAGCTTGGGGAGAAAACTCTATTCCCCAAGAAAGCATGAAGTTGTGGTTTAGATCAAGTATAAATATGAAACGTCAGTGAGTGCCCCAGAACCAGAGAAGCCATTGAGTGAAGGCAGAGGAAGAATATCCCAACAGTACTGATTAAGTATAGAAGAGAAAATTAGCACTGACATATGTGTATATATATATATATATATATATATATATATATATGTGTGTGTGTGTGTGCAGATTGACAACATGAACCTGATTCTGGGCCATCTTGTGGAGTTGAATGATAAAATTGAAATCTCAGCTTCTCATGTTTTCTGATCTTCCTGACAGAAACAGAAAATTGGAAATAGGACACCAGTGGTACCTGTGTAGACTCTAATAGCTGAGAGTGTGCAGGCAATGCTGTCATCACTCTGAACTTTTCTTAATTTAGTAGCCCACTGCTGTGGGGTAACTTGTCACTGTTCCTGTATCAGCAAATTCCGTTTTTGCAGTCTTATTACATTGAGGCTTGTTCAGTAATATTGTCAGTTGTTCTTCTTCACTCCATTCCCCATGTAGACAGTTCTTCTAATGGTTAATTTTGTTTACCACAAACTCCAGAAAGTGTAGGATGCTTTTGCAGAAATGTCCCCCATCTTCCC